CGGAACCTTTAAGACGAACGGGACCTTTAGACGAACGGATCTAAGACGAACGGGTCCTTAAGACGAACGGACCCTTAAGACGAACGACCCTTAAGTTGAACAGGGCCCCAAAGGAACACCACACAATATGAACCCACAAGAGAGCCCTCCTGGTCTTGAGGTCAGCTGATAACACTGAATAACACACTGACCCACAACAATCATCAATCGGGAAAAAAAATATTTACAGTGGAATCTCCAAATAACGGACTTTCTATATACAGTAATCCGTTAAATGGAGGTTTCATATATAACTGACCCTTGATATAACGGACTTTCCTCACCAGATAGTCCGTTAAATGGAGGTTTCATATATAACTGACCCTCGATATAACGGACTTTCCTCACCAGACAGTCCGTTAAATGGAGGTATCACTGTTCTGTATATATCCGTTCCGAAAGTTTGCTGATGCTGCTCCAATTAAACCAGTAGTATGCACCCGTCGTTCTGCCTGCCCGCCCGCCCGCCAGCCCGCCCACCCGCCCGCGCTTCACTGATCGCGGTTCGTTGATCCTATCTCACCAAGGCCTGGGAATGAAGCCTTTGACGCATCACCGTGGACTGGCAGCTTATTTTACCTACGAGGAAAAGTTCAATAGTGAGGCGGATGATAATTATTCCTGTCTCTCTCTCTCTTTCTCTCTCTATGTTGGTTCACCAGGTAATTGTATTTTCTAGAAGTTTCACAACTAATCCTCATGGTACAACACCTCCCACACATCTCTACAGCCCCCCTAGCACCTAATCAGTGATCACTCATCTGGGCACATCTCCATCTGCCAGAAGTGCGGCACTGCTTACTCCCCGAGAACCGTAATGAAGACAAATGCTAACTGCAGCTCGGAGCAAATAGCTTATCATAATATGGTGATTGATGACTGTCTTACTCCGACAGCTGTTGTGGGTGGCTGACTTGGCTGGGTGGCTGCCGTGGCTGGGTGGCTGCCGTGGCTGGTGGCTGCCGTGGCTGGGTGGCTGCAGTGACTGAACGGGTGGCTGCAGTGACGGAATGAGTGGGGTAACTGAATGGCCGTAAGTAGGTAACTGCTGTAGTAAGATGGGTGGCTGGATGACTGCTGTGGTGGTTTGAGTGGCCGCCGTGGTGGGCGAGTGAGAGAGTCAGTGGGTGGGTGGGTGGTCGACGACAACCTCTACTGCTGTTGCTACACCACAAACCGGAATTAATGTCCCGAGAGCAAGGAGTGACACAGGTGAAGAAAGTGGCAAGCAAAGTGTGACTGAGAGAGAGAGAGAGAGAGCCGCGAGCGATGATAAATGGTTGGCTGGGAAATACTCTATCACTAGTGGAGGAGGAGAGCAACACAAGACAATCAGCGATTCTGTAAAGACTCTTGAGCTGAATAATATTTTTAAGTACCTGAGTAAAGATGTGATATCCTTCATACCACCGTCGCTCTTATGATGGATATGTTATCTTCCTCGTAAGGTGAGTAGTTATGATATAGGAATTATCATTATCTCAGTCACGATATCATAAGTCAACAACTGAATTACGATATCTAGATTAGTATTTTAAACTTTATCCTGATATTACGGTAGCTAGTCATTAATGAATATAACCCACAGAAAGAACCAAATAACGTACAGGTGTGTGACATATACCTGCCCACGCTAACTAAGTCCTCATACAGGTGTTGACAGGTGTTTAGTGGACATAATGAGATGGTGTCCCAGAAGCATATAAGAAAGACAGCTGTACCAAACAAACAATAATGATACAAAACAGAGGAAAAAACACTAATAAAATTCATGATAAAATCTAATATGTGAATAAATAAATGAATGGAGAATAAACAGCCACACAGACGATTAGTGTTAGTCAATGCCCTTCATGTTCGTACTTGACCCTTGGCGTTCCCTAAGGAGGATATTTAGGCCAATTATGAACCTCTTAAACCCATGAGGTACAAACAAACAAACAAACAAACAAACAAACAAACAAACGAACAAAAACAGACAGAATGAGAGACAGACAGACGTGGGGGGGGGGAGAAAGAGAACTGTATTGTCAAAAGCGACAAAGTGTAATAAAGCAAATTGATAACGGAGGTGGAGAGAGAGAGAGACTGTTAGTGAGGAGTTTATCTCTTGGAAGTTCTGTGGCATGTTTAGTGGAGTCTGGACTTATTTATAGTCTCTCTCTGTCTCTCTCTCTCTACACACACACACGCACACACACACACACACACACACACACATACACACACACACACACACACACACACACACACACACACACACACACACACACACACACACACACACACACACACACACACACACATTATTTATGTACTGTACAGCCCTGTAAATGTATTCAATGCATATTATATCATTATGTCTAAATCAAATGTAAGTCTGTATATTTTCAGCCACCTGCTGCAACTCTATTAATAAACCGTTTATTATTATTATTATTATTATTATTATTATTATTATTATTATTATTATTATTTTATTATTATTATTATTATTATTATTATTAGTATTACACGCACACACATTTACGATCTCTCTCTATTTCTCTACGTTTTTCCTCTCTCTATCTCTCTCCCTTTTCCTTTCTCTATCTCCACAGTATGTCTCTTTGTCTCACGGCCACTGGGTGTACTGAGAAAAAGTTGACTAGTACTGAGGCTGTATGTTGGCGGTGCCTAGTCAAAAGACACAGCGCCAGACACCCCTCTCTCTCTATCTCTCTCTCACTTTCTTTCTTTCTCTTTATCTTGGATGGGGCTAATGAAGCACACCTGAATACATGCGTGAAAAAAAAAGAAAAATTCTAAAGGAAGGAGTGTGTGTGTGTGTGTGTGTGTGTGTGTGTGTGTATGAGAATGACAGTGAGATGGTGAATATGTATATGAAGAGAGAGATATGAACACAAATGTAAATAATGTATGATGAATAATGTGTTAATAAATGTCACGTTATCTTTTGATTAGTGCCAAGGAGTGCCACGTATTAGTGCCACGTATTAAGTAAAGATGAATGCCATATGAATTCCGATGCCAACTATTATGGGTATATGAGTGCCACGTCATCAATGAGTGCCCAGTACGCATCATATACCCGTGAGTGCCCAGTGAGCCCCTCAATACCTGCGGTGCCAGATAAGTGCCACCCTGTACCTGTGAGTGCCAAGTACATCACCATAGCAACAGTATCTTATCCACGTCTCTCACTCACTCTCCCTTATTCTCTTATATTCACGTTTATCTATTATCTCTCCCCCTTAATTACTTATCACCGTGTTTCTCATTATTCTCATCCCTCCCTACCTTCATCTCTCCTATCTTCTCTCCTTCTACCTTCTCTCCATCTCTCTCCTAACTTCTCTCCATCCCTCCCTCTACCTTCTCTCCATCTCCTCCCTACCTTCTCTCCTCCTCCCTTCCTTCTCTCCATCTCTCCCTACTCCTCTCTCTCTCTCCCTCCCTACCTTCTCTCCCTCCCTCCCTACCTTCTCTCCCTCCCTCCTACCTTCTCTCCATCTCTCCTCCCCCCTTCATCTCTCCCTCCCTACCTCCCTCCTTCCCAACCTTCTCCTCCCTCCTCCCCTCCCTTCTCTCCCTCCCCTCCCCACCTTCTCTCCCTCCCTCCTCCCTACCTTCTCTCCCCTCCCTCCCACCTTTTCTCCCTCCCTCCTACCTTCTCTCTCTCCCTACCTTCTCTCCCTCCCTCCCCTACCTTCTCTCCTCCCTCCCTCCCCTACTTCTCTCCCTCCTCCTCATTATAGACAGTAATCAGCATCCTCATTTTTCACTCTCGGTACCCTCGCTGTGGCCTTGGGAAGTATATTCTCTCTCTCTTCTTAATACTGAGTTATCTTGTTTCTCATCCCTAATACAGAGTTATATTGTTTCCTGATCCCCAATAATAATTCTCTGTTTCCCTGATCCCCAATAATAATTAACTCTGTTTCCCTGATCCCTAATACGGAGTTATATTGTTTCCCTGATCCCCAATAATAATTAACTCTGTTTCCCTGATCCCTAATACGGAGTTATATTGTTTCCCTGATCCCCAATAATAATTAACTCTGTTTCCCTGATCCCTAATACGGAGTTATCTTATTTCCCTGATCCCTAATACGAAGTTATATTGTTTCCCTGATCCCCAATAATAGTTAACTCTGTCTCCTGATCCCTAATACGGAGTTATCTTATTTCCTGATCCCTAATACGAAGTTATATTGTTTCTGATCCGCAATAATAGTTAACTCTGTCTCTGATCCCTAATACGGAGTTATATTGTTTCCTGATCCCTAATACGAAGTTATATTGTTTCCCTGATCCCCAATAATAGTTAACTCTGTCTCCCTGATCCCTAATACGGAGTTATATTGTTTCCCTGATCCCTAATACTGAGTTATATTGTTTCCCTGATCCCCAATAATAATCAACTCTGTCTCCCTGATCCCTAATACGGAGTTATCTTATTTCCCTGATCCCTAATACGAAGTTATATTGTTTCCCTGATCCCCAATAATAGTTAACTCTGTCTCCCTGATCCCTAATACGGAGTTATATTGTTTCCCTGATCCCCAATAATAGTTAACTCTGTCTCCCTGATCGCTAATAGTGAGTTATAAGGGAGGCGAGTCAAAGGCGCCCTAATACCATTAATTATGTTGGTTATTCTCCCTGTCCTCCCTGGGGCCATTCACCACACCCTTATTGAACGCTGATAGAAGGTACAAACGTGGGCGTGTGTATCTCCTGCTACATGGGCGTGTGTATCTCCTGCTACGTGGGCGTGTGTATCTCCTGCTACGTGGGCGTGTGTATCTCCTGCTACGTGGGCGTGTGTATCTCCTGCTACGTGGGCGTGTGTACTCCTGCTGCGTGGGCGTGTGTACCTCTTGCTACGTGGGCGTGTGTATCTCCTGCTACGTGGGCGTATGTATCTCCTGCTACGTGGGCGTGTGTCCTCTTGCTACATGGGCGTGTGTATCTCCTGCTACATGGGCGTGTGTATCTCCCTGCTACGTGGGCGTGTGTACCTTTGCTACATGGGCGTGTGTATCTCCTGCTACGTGGGCGTGTGTACACCTCTTGCTACATGGGCGTGTGTATCTCCTGCTACGTGGGCGTGTGTATCTCCTGCTGCGTGGGCGTGTGTACCTCTTGCTACATGGGCGTGTGTATCTCCTGCTGCGTGGGCGTGTATCTCCTGCTACGTGGGCGTGTGTACCTCTTGCTACATGGGCGTGTGTATCTCCTGCTACGTGGGCGTGTGTACCTCTTGCTACATGGGCGTGTGTATCTCCTGCTGCGTGGGCGTGTGTATCTCCTGCTACGTGGGCGTGGCCTCTTGCTACATGGGCGTGTGTATCTCCTGCTACGTGGGCGTGTGTACCTCTTGCTACGTGGGCGTGTGTATCTCCTGCTACGTGGGCGTTGTATCTCCTGCTACGTGGGCGTGTATCTCCTGCTGCGTGGGCGTGTGTACACTGCTGCGTGGCGTGTGTATCTCCTGCGTGGGCGTGTATCTCCTCACGTAGGCGTGTGTATCTCCTGCTGCGTGGGCGTGTGTATCTCCTGCTACGTGGGCGTGTGTATCTCCTGCTACGTGGGCGTGTGTATCTCCTGCTGCGTGGGCGTGTGTACCTCTTGCTACATGGGCGTGTGTATCTCTGCTGCGTGGGCGTGTGTATCTCCTGCTACGTAGGCGTGTGTATCTCCTGCTGCGTGGGCGTGTGTATCTCCTGCTACGTGGGCGTGTGTATCTCCTGCTGGTGGGCGTGTGTCTCCTGCTACGTGGGCGTGTGTATCTCCTGCTACGTGGGCGTGTGTATCTCTCCTGCTACGTGGGCGTGTGTATCTCCTGCTACGTGGGCGTGTGTATCTCCTGCTACGTGGGCGTGTGTATCTCCTTGCGTGGGCGTGTGTATCTCCTGCTGCGTGGGCGTGTGTATCTCCTGCTACGTGGCGTGTGTACCTCTTGCTACATGGCGTGTGTATCTCCTGCTGCGTGGGCGTGTGTATCTCCTGCTGCGTGGGCGTGTGTATCTCCTGCTACGTGGGCGTGTGTATCTCCTGCTACATGGGCGTGTGTATTCCTGCTACGTGGGCGTGTGTACCTCTTGCTACATGGGCGTGTGTATTCCTGCTGCGTGGGCGTGTGTACCTCTTGCTACGAGGCGTGTGTATCTCCTGCTGCGTGGGCGTGTGTATCTCCTGCACGTGGGCGTGTGTATTCCTGCTGCGTGGGCGTGTATCTCCTGCACGTGGGCGTGTGTATCTCCTGCTACATGGGCGTGTGTATCTCCTGCTACGTGGGCGTGTGTATCTCCTGCTACGTGGGCGTGTGTATCTCCTGCTACGTGGGCGTGTGATCTCCTGCTGCGTGGGCGTGTGTATCTCCTGCTACGTGGGCGTGTGTATCTCCTGCTACGTGGGCGTGTGTATCTCCTACGTGGGCGTGTGTACCTCTTGCTACATGGGCGTGTGTATCTCCCTGCTGCGTGGGCGTGTGTACCTCTTGCTACATGGGCGTGTGTATCTCCTGCTACGTGGGCGTGTGCTGTTGCTACATGGGCGTGTGATCTCCTGCTGCGTGGGCGTGTGTACTCTTGCTACATGGGCGTGTGTATCTCCTGCTACGTGGGCGTGTGTATCTCCTGCTACATGGGCGTGTGTATCTCCTGCTGCGTGGGCGTGTATCTACCCTACAACAATATTACCACAACTTCTCCTACCATGGCCGTGTGTAGATGCGCCACAGTAACTAACAACATCAAACGTCAGAAGAAAAAAGGATTGACTAGAATTGTAAAGCGTTTCTCGCCGTCTGGAGCACCGAGTCAAGGCCAGGGAACACGAATGTAAACAACTATAAGGGAAGTAATCTAGTGAGCTTGGCTGGTAGAGTGTTCAGGAGAAAGGTATTTAATCGTGTAAAAAAAATAACAAAAGAGCATCACTGAATTTCTTATAGATATATGAAGAAGATTTTGTAAGAGGATGAGTCTTAGAGAGTGGTGATAGGGTATAGTGGGATGTGTTGACCTTTTCATATAGTAAAAACCTCAATATAACGGACTTCTCTTCATATAATCCGTTAGTTGGGGGTTTTCACATCTAACGGACCCTCGATATAACGGACTTCCATCTCAAAAGGGGGAGTGAGGGAAAGAGGGAGAGAGGGAGGGAAAGAGAGAGAGGGAAAGAGGGAGTGAGGGAGGGAGTGAGGGAGAGAGGGAGTGAGAGAGTGAGGGAGAGAGGGAGTGAGGGAGTGAGGGAAAGACGGAGTGAGGGAGAGAGGGAAAGAGGGAGTGAGGGAGTGAGAGAGAGAGATTGAGTGAGGGATAGAGGGAGTGAGAGAGATATTAAAGAGACAGAGTTGTGTCTTAATGAAGGAAACCTTGATGAGACACAAGTCATAGGTAACACAGGACAGGTGGGAGACTAATTAACTTTTGCAGGTGAACGAGAAGAAAACCAGCAAATATGCAGATGAACTGACTTTCACTCTCTCTCTTTCTTTCTCTCATTCCTCTCACTCTCTCTCTATTATCCCCCATTTCTCTTTCTCTCTCTCTATTATCCCTGATTATTCTCTTTCTCTCTCTCTCTATTATCCCCATCTCTTTCTCTCATTCCACTCCCTCCTTCTTTATTATCACCCATCTCTCTCTCTCTCTCTCTCTCCTCTAGCGTATCTCAGCCTCTTAACCCCCCCCCCCACAGTGAGAGAGAGGAGTAAGGCGACATAAAGGATAACAATAAACAAGACAATCATAAATACATCCAGGGTGATTAATGAAAGTGTTTTAAAAGCAATACCGGAGAGTGTGTGGAGAGGGTGGTGGTGGTGGTGATGGAGGGAGGGATTCAGAGTGTGGTAGTGGGAGTCAGGTGGTGGTAGAGGGAGTCAGGTGGTGGTAGAGGGAGTCAGGTGGTGGTAGTGGGAGTCAGGTGGTGGTAGTGGGAGTCAGGTGGTGGTAGTGGGAGTCAGGTGGTGGTAGTGGGAGTCAGGTGGTGGTAGTGGGAGTCAGGTGTAGTGGGACAGCTGGTATTGGGAGTCAGCTGGTGGTAGTGGGAGCCAGGTGGTGGTAGGAGTCAGGTGGTGGTAGTGGGAGTCAGGTGGTGTTAGTGGAGCCCAGCAGACAGCAGAGCACTCGGGGGAAAGTTTGCTTAATACCAGGATGATCCCACTCCATAAAAGCCGGGCTCCCTCTCGCTCCTCCAGCAAGAGAAAAAAAGACAACAAAGGCTTAACCAGGCTTCCCGAGGCGGTTGCTTGCTTATAAGTGGCGACTGGAAGCGACTAAAACATCTTTTTGTTTTTTCATCTCTCGTATTTTTTTTTATTACAGGAGGAGGGGGTGGGGGGGAGGGGAGGTGAAGGGAGGAGGAGGAGGAGGAAGGGGTGTATGGTGGGAGGGAGGGGGTAAGGGAGGAGAGATGAAGAGTAGATGGGGGAGGGAAGGAGGAGAGGGAGAAGTAGAAGGGAAACACCACCAACACCAACCAACAAAAACAACAACAAATGAAAATACCCATAACAACAACAATAAAAGCAAACACTAAACAAACACATAAACACCATCACCACCACATAAGACACATCTCCCACAGTCAATATAAACAAGGCCACGCCCACCTCTCCTACACCTGGCCACTCTACTAATTAGCTTCCAACCGTATGTCGTTAAATATTCATACATTAACCTGGTTCTCCGTTGCAATTACTAAGCAAGCACGATGATGAAGGAACCTTAATTGTACAACGTAATTATTTTGGTATAAGAATATATTTAGAGTTGAAGTTATGGGGGAAATAACAACTGTATACGAAACTTAAACCATTATAATTAGTTATTGGTTTAAAATATGTATAGAGAATGATTAAAGGAATGTTGAATGTTTTTTTTTAGAGATGTATAAATGGTGATAGGGGGTAATGATGATTATGATGACGATGATGATGATGATGATGATGATGATGATGATGATGATGATGATGATGATGATGATGATGATGATGATACAACAAGGTATGACATGAAACTGATAGTATTAGAATTTTGTGATGGTGCAGTTATTAGGAGTTAATGTAATAATAGTAATATATAATGAATGAGAAGAGAAGATAATGAAGGGTGGAGAAGGAGGGGAAGAGGGAGGGATGAGAATGAAGGAGGAAAGAGAATGAAAGAAAAGGAGAGATAGGGAGACTTGAATGAGAAATGAGAGAGGAAATGGAAAGAGGAAAAGAAGGAAATAAGGGGAATGATGGAAGGGAAAATGATGAATGATGATAGTGGGAGAGGGGAGGGATATGGAAGGGGAGGAAAGGAGACTGCTTACGAATTTGGGATAGGGAAGCGAAGGAGAGGAATAGAAGACTAAAAAGTAGGAAGGAAAATGGATGGAAAGGGAGAAGGATGAGATACAGGATGGGATAGGAGGCTGTTATAAGAGTAATGATGGAAAAGGCAGAAGGGATAAGATGGAAAGGAATGATGGAAAAGGCAGAAGGGATAAGATGGAAAGGAATGATGGAAAACAGAATGAGGAGGGAGTTAAGACACTGATGACGGGAAGTGAAACAAACAGATGCGGAAAAGCAATGTGAAAGGAAATGAGATGACAGAGGAGATAAAAGATTGGGGGGAAGGAATGGGAGAAGATGGGGTGGATAAAGGAAGGGAAGGGAAGGGAAGGGAAGGAAATACTTAGGGTCACAGTTAACTCTTTGTAGGATCAGGAAGACTACTGTTGGTGAGAGATTTAGGGTGAGGGAAGGAGGGAAGGGTGAGAGAGGAGTGGTGGGTGAAGGAGGAGGGAAGGAGGAGAAGAGGATGAAGGGATGGGGGAAGGGCTAGAGAAGAGGATACTATGAGGAAGGAAGGTAGAGTGGAGGATGAAGGTAAGTGAGGGAGGAGAGCGAGGAAGCAAGGAGGATAGAGGGGAAGAGGAGGGTAGATGAGGGAATAAGGACAGGAGGAGGAGGGTGAGAAAGGAGAGGGTTGAAGCCTAACCTTATACGATAGTGAAGATTATCAAAGGGTATTACTGAAACTCTCTCTCTCTCTCTCTCTCTCTCTCTCTCTCTCTCTCTCTCTCTCTCTCTCTCTCTCTCTCTCTCCCTCTCTCTCTCTCTCTCTCTCCTACCCATTCCTCTAAAGCGCCTCCCCCCTCCCTTCGTCATGGCTGTCACCCATCACCCTTCACCCAAACTCGCCAGGGGGAGAAGGGAGGCGATCGGTCAGCAGTAGAGTAGAGGGAGGCTGGACTGTTTCACCCGTCAATTAGCAGGCGCCAATATCTGACACAGGCTGGCGAGGAGAGGGGGGAGGGAGATATGGGAGAAAAGGAGGAGGAAGGGAGGAAGAACGGAAAGAGGAAGAAGGGGATGGAGGGGAGGAAGGGAGGAGAGCATGGGAGAAGGAGGGGTCGAGGGAGGAATGGGAAAACAGGAGGAGGGAAGGCGGGAATAATAAGATGAACGGAAGGGGGGTGGAGGGAGGAAAATGAGAGACTAGAAAGAGAAGAGGAGAGAAAAGAGAGAATAAGGAGTTGAGAGAATGATGAGAAAGAAGGAAAGAAATTTGAGAGAGAGAGAGAGAGAGAGAGAGAGAGAGAGAGAGAGAGAGAGAGAGAGAGAGGTCAAATTGTAATATAACTTCAATATTTCCACAACTATTTGTTTACAATGGCTTGGCAAGACTTTTGAAGCTTAACGAAGAAATTGTACCAACTTGGTAACACTACAAGAGCTCTAGGAATTATTTACACACAACTGATAACACGATCAGAGTAACACTGATAAGAAATTGTTATGGTCTGGCAACTATTTCAAAGGAAATGGGGGGGGGGGGGATTTGTTTTGTTTTGGCAATGATTCAATGGCAATATTTGCTACATTGGTAATACTTCAAAGGGTTTGGAGTGAAAGGACATTTTTTTCTAGTGTGATAACATTTCAAGAGGTAAGGAAAGATAAATTCGCTCGTTTGGTAACATTTCAAAACTCACCGAATGGAATAATTGGTCAACCGGTAAACAATTCAAGGGTTTCACAAAGGAGTGTTCTCCGGTTTGGCAACATTTTATAAACTCTAGACTGGGATACGCGCTAATATGGTCACATTACTCTAATTGCTCTGACTTGTACAGCTAAAATGTTTTCAATGGTAACGTCATCAAAACAAGTCTATCCGTGTATTGTATCTTCCTTCTCTCCTTCCTCTTGTATTATCGTATGTATCTACTTCCCATTTTCACTCTCACTTTCTTATCACCAAGCTAATTCCACAGTCACCCTTAATGATGTAATTCGTTTTCTGTTGTCCCTTCCGTAATTACAACATTTATTATCTTAATTATTCTCTCTCTCTCTCTCTCTCTCTCTCTCTCTCTCTCTCTCTCTCTCTCTCGCTTTTATTTTTATCTATCTATCTCTCTATCTATCTATCTATTTATCTATCTATTTCTTCTTATTCCTTCCCACACACCTTAACCCCTTCGTTCTCTCTCTCTCTCTCTTTCATTTATTATTCAGTGTGTGTGTGTGTCGCCTCATTTACTTTCCCTTCCTTGTTTAGTGTTACAGTACCTCCCTTTCAGCCACCCTTCCCCTCTCTCTGCCACCCTCTATTCCTCCTTGCTCTCTACCATCCCTGCTGACCTGTTAACTCTCCCTGCCAGCCCTCCCTGCTGACCTGCTAACTCTCCCTGCCAGCCCTCCCTGCTAGCTCTCTCTGCTAGCTCTCCCTGCCACTGCGGCACTAGCGGGGTGCGCCATCATGCATGAAATACTCTAATTGGCAATTAATGGGGTGTGCTCCTTTGTGATAGACCCGATACGCTCCTAACTAGTT